AACAATAGCTCCGGTTCCTGAAACAGGTCTTGTAAACTGTTCAAAGACAGAACTTTGGTTAACCCACGAATCACACGGTCTAGAACGAACCTCTGCCAAAGAGGCAGCTGTTTCAAAAATCAGGTTTTATTGCTTTGTACTTGCTGCTTTACTGTTGCTTCAGTACCCAGCGGCAGGGTAATGAAATATGACTTCCCCTTCAAAGCAAAGCCTTGCTTAGGAAATAATTTTCAAGGAAATTAGCACAACCTTCTAATGACATGAATGAGGCACAAAAAGTTGAAGAGAACACACTGTGTGCTAAACAGCAGTAACTTTATTGCCCACAGATAACGCAAACATTTTCCACACTTGCTGCAACTCAGCAAGTTACCTACTTGACAAGGTTCACAAAAACTATTTGTTTCAGAAGTACCCTATTGTTCTTTGAGCACATTCTCATTTAAGGTGTTTATTATTGCTCAAATCTACAGTCTGATTGTGATTGGCCACTCAGTCATGAGATATGCAGAATTAAAGATGATACAGGACTTTCAGGAATCCATTTTTAATTAGAAAATATACCTGGTTGTAGGATAGAAAACAATCCAAAATAATAACATTTAAATTTCTGAGTCCAGACTGTCTTTGGGCACAATACATCAGGATCAACTTTAAAGCAGAACAGATATCAATAGAAAAAAATACTGTACACTGATTTTGAGAAATAACATCTCAGCACAGATTAAGTGTTCACACTAAGGATGCTGTAGTGTCTTCTAAAAAAAAAATCCAAAACAAAAATAGGAAAAATGTCATTGGTATTACACCAAAGAAAAGCTCTGAAGGCAAAAAAAAAAAACAACCCAAACCCATCTCTTAGTCCAACACAATTACTCCAAACTGTATTACTGACTGTAGTTCTCTTACTCTGTCAGGGCACCTCCCCCAAAATGGGGATCTCCTCATTTCTCTCCAACGAGAGCAAGTGTCCTTTCTTCTAGAACCAGGTCCTTCCATACAATAAATTTTTGAAGGAAAAGGAGGAAAAAGGTGTAACCAGGGCTTGAACTTGCCTCCGTAAAGCTTTTCCTACGTGTCAGTACAAAAGCAAAGGACAGGAGACCTGGCTGGTACCTTTCACAAATGATCTCTCACTTTACCTCTCCACAGAAGGCGGCTGCACAAGTGTTAAATTTCAGTTGGTTGCAATTTTCCCCCTCCTATCCTGTCTAAAAAAGGAATTTAAATTTAAAGGCAACAGTAAACCACACACATATGTCAAGAGAAAGTTTTGCTGTTTTAAAGTCAGTACACCGAGAAAATCAGAGACAACTAATTCCTGGGATTTGCGAATAAAGGGTAAAACTCTCGCCTTCTGACCGGGGCACAACGGTTTTGGTGTTCATGTGGAAAGTGACACTGTTGTGCATGAATTTAATGCACTAGAAGCCACACGAAAAAGTAACTAAAATCATTTAGTGGGTATTCTCGACAGAGACATTTAGCAGCACGGAAACAGAGGGACCTTCCTTCCCTCACACACTATAAAATCCTGCTTTAGGCTAATAGAACACTGCATGATCTCAATTCCACTTATCAGTGCCAAAACGATGCATATCTCTTACAAATGGCCAAATTCACAAGCAAAACATTTAAACCGGAAAAAATTGTTTCGTTCTACATTTATTGCAGATATTAAAAGATTAACAATGCTAACATGTTTACTTACACTAAAAAAAAATGTCAGTTATCCAATAACATAAGCATCTAACTGTTACTAGCTTAGCACTACTGCCCATTTGCACGGAACAGAAACTAGCAAACTGCTCTACAAGATTAATGGCAAAAAACCAACCAAAAGACAGTAGACACACCACTGAAGTTAGTTAAAATGTTCACTGAAGCTTGCAGTCTTCATGGAAGAGAGCCTGGAACTAAAATAACAGAAAAGAAGCTAGTAAACTTTAAACAAGGCAAGGTATCTGCATAACAAACGTTTCACATGTACAAGTATTTAAAATTTTCAAATCAAGAGCCGAGCTGCCTGCAAAAGCAGGTCAAAATAAACGGAAACCCCTTTTGCAAAAGGAGCATAAGGTCATCTCTTGGTAAAACAAGATAAAAGTGGCAAACAGTAACCCGCTTGAGAGCAACACCGGAATCTCAGCACCAGTGCTGCTCTGCTGATATCTTGTCCAAAGATGAAGTTTGGCACAAGAAAGACAGACCATACTACAGACACCATCCAGGGTAGCAGATTAAGATTTTCCCAACGTTCACCTTTATTCTCAAGACAGTGTTATACTCTAAATTGAACTGCACTCAGGAAGGACGGCACCATTTTCCAATCTGGATACTAACAATTTTCCCAGATGGAGTAAGCAGGTGTTTAGTAAATGCACCCCAAAGGGTACTGTGCCCAACAAACTCAGGTTGCACCAGAGAATGCTGATCTGGGTCCGAGAGGGGATTTCAATCTGGTGTGAAACTCCACTTCACCTTGCGCCTTTCTGCAAATAATGTAATATATAATCCAAGAATCCTTCCAAAGTGTGAAAGTGAAAGAAGAGGTGAACCAGAAGTTTGCAAGGAAATAATAATTGTGACCAGCAACACCGGCAGCTTCATCACTGAGACTAAAAGAACAGCTAAACCCTTTTGAGTGGGTCTGAGAAATAAATCAGAGGCCCACGTTAGTTCCAGAGCATCGTTCTAAAACGGACTGCGACTGACAGATCTCCTTTTGGAAAGGCTCAAGTTTTACACTGGGTAACTAATTACACACTGGAAAGAAAGAGGGGCAGTGAAGAACACACCCAAACAGGAACTCAAAAGGTAAGCACACGCTGCCAAATACTGTCATTGATGATCTTTCAAGTGGGCCAAAACATTTAAGGACTTGAAACATCTCCAAGTAAAGCCTATGAGAAACGTCTGGGCTATCAAACATCCTTAATAAAGTCTGGCAACCAGATAAACTTATTTGTATTTATCGCCTTCATGCGTCAGCTTCTTGTAATGTAAAGGTGAAGACACACGTGATGTTCATGGAAAAACAGAACTACCAGCATGTTTTTCTACACCTGCCATCATGGTTTTATTCAGTGGTTAGGTGCTCCAAGGCAACTGAAACTGAACGATCAGAAAATTACACTGTGACATGATTTTGTTTCTCATGGTTTCAAAGACCCATACAGTAAACAAAAAAGACAAAAAAAACCCTTGCATTCGTAAACTAAAAGTGGTTGTTACAAGCAGGGAAAAGTTCGTTGCTACAGAATGAAAAGTGAAGACACTCCCTTTCAAGCAGCAGTGTTTTTAATGCAGAAAGAATATAATTTTGTTCTTTGAACAGCAGGCACAGGCAAGTTGATAACTGAAGAACACATTTTCTTACATATTTGTCAGTTAGGAACTTGAGATGCTGCCACATGAGTGTGGGGTGCTATCAGTGGTGTGCCACAAGCTCTTTGCTCTACAAGAAGCATGGTGCAGGATGAAAACATCAGCAAGACAGCACTCACACCTACCAAGCAAAACATGCATCAGCTCAAGAGAAACTCTTGAAAGAGAACTTCAGTGAAGCAGGGTTTGGGACTATAACATCCAAGTGAAGGCTTCTGACTAGCTTTAGAAAGGTGATGATGGAGAATGAGTACGCTAAAAAGCGCGGTTTCAAATTGTGTCACTTCCAGTAATCCAGTCACAGATCCCTTCCTGACGGGTGAGTCGGGAAAAGATGAATGATCAGACCTCGACCGTTTATTTGTGGTAACACCGCTAAACCTTTCGTGTCTTCAGAACTGCTTCACGAAGCAGTTAGGCAACGCTTTTTTTGAAGCACAGTAGATAACCCAGTCTTCTCTTTCAGTAAATTCTGGAATAGTCCCTTAAAAGTACAAACGCTTTGTCCTATTTCTTGGGATTTTTCAATAAAAGAACTTCTGCAAAGCCAATATATTTAACAGAAAACAGAAATGACTCTCTAAACTGATGGTCTTCTAAAACTGAAGATCCAACTCCAGATGACTTCCGAACATCTGACTTGCAAGTATTTTCTTCAGTATTTTTTTCAGACACATGAATTGTACCTGCTCACGGATTAAACTTCTTTGAGAAAGAAAGAAATTATTCAAGAACTTGTTGGAGAAGAGCTGCAAATTTGTATAAAAACAAAAAAGTACACTTAAAATATGTACTGCTTGTTTGTTACAATGAAAAACCTTAGCAGCCGAAGTTTTCAAGGAAGAGTTTAGTGTTCTCAAACTCAGATGAACTCAGTCATCCATCCTACACTTAAAGTCTAGAATCCTAAACAAAATAAGCATGCAGGTAGACTCTTCTTAAAATTGTTGTATGGAGGAAAGGAAACTGCTTTATGCAGGCTCCAGAAGTAGACCAGATTAGCCCATCAATAAAATGCAGTAAAATAAAATCTGAACTGCCTTGCAAGAAGATCTGAATTTGAGAAGATTCTTGGCTTCAGAAAAGATCAGAGCCAAACCAGGCTAGTCATGTTTTTTGTGTTGCTTATTCTGGTTTTTGGTAAGCCATCTCATCACAAAACAGGCAAGCTTGGCCAAAGAGAGAGGTAAACAGGCACTTCCGAGAACAAAATCAGTTGTTTCTTCCTCAGAAGATGACATCCAAGTTGTTAGCTTGCACAACTAAATACAAGACTAACTTTAATCTTGGAGAACGTTTTAATACATTAGTATTCAAGTCCACTACTATGGAACAAAGTGTTCTTCACACTGGCATGCTCTGCTGAAGATCTTTCACACAGTAGCCTTTGCATATCCGTGCACTTTCTAGCGAGCGAGTCTCTTACGTCAGACCTAGGAAGTAAGATTTGGGGTAATTCAGCACTTCAACGCAGGTCTGGATTTTCACGAAATGTTGAGAAGCCAGATATACTCATGGAAACAGTAATGTTTTCCTGGTAAAGGAAGACTTAAAACCCCTGGTATTTTAATGTTTGCAGGAATTCATAAACCAGACGTGTCCATTGCACATACCTACTTACTTGCTCTTTTCTGCCTGTACATTTGTATCATTCTTTGACGGAAAACATCAAATGCATCTTCTTTATTTTCTTCCCCTGCAACACCCAAGCCCTCCCCTGCAGAGGTAGCACCCCTAGGGAGTAAAATGAATAGTTAGAACACTCTGTTTCTGTTACATTTGACAACGTGCAGAAGAGATCTATACAATAGCTTCCAACATAGACACAATTCAAGTGGAAAGTAATTCTGCTTCGTCTGGGGGAGAAGGGGAGCAGAGGCTTGGTACCTGGCATACCAGATCAACTACAAAACAATTCCCATCTCCCATTACACATGCAAATACCCACCAGAAGAAAATGCTCCCAGGATATTAAGAGAGCAGTGAAGATATGGTCATCTAAGAGACTGAATTCTTACATGAGCTTTAACCACAGTAGATAGGATCCTCTGTTGAAAAGATAGCAAAAACTGCCTTGTTTCTTACATTTCAAAACTGACAGAAGTCAGAGAACTTTGAGGAATGAGAAAGAAACACCACATAACTCTGCATAAAAGTTTAAATTTTTACCAAGGGAATATAATGCTGCTTGCTTAAAATTTCTAGCACGCAGAGCGAGCTGAAGTCTTGTAGGACACACATCATAGACAAAACCTGGAGCTCCTGCCCTTCAAAGAAAAATGAGTCATTAACTCTTATCTTTTCATCCAAACATGCCAACAGAAGCAGACAGGCCTCAACAATATTGAAACAACTTCCTGCCCTGGAAGTAGATGGAGAGGATGACCCACAAGAATGCAGAGATTCAAATAATTACAAACCATTTCTTTCTCCAGGCTATGTGCACAGAACGTAGACACTGCGAAGCTAAGATTAATGAAACCTCTGCCACAGGAACGATCCTCTGTGCCAGGTTCATCCTCCCAGTCAGTTCTGTTAGTGTTCTCCACTGAAGATTTCATTACGTGAAGTAAGAAAATTTAGATTGCCCCATGTGCTGAAATCTGGATTACTGTGCTATCAGGGTAAAACCTGAGGACCTTAAGTAGAATAAAGAAAAATTATTCTTATCCAATTTCTGTAATAATACATCCACTTAAGCCAAGTAGATTGTTGTGCAATTCTAAAAGAATATTCACAGACTCTAAAAAGCAAATTCAACTTTACAGCCCACAGTAGAAGCCCTGGTTGCTGGTTTTCTTCTGAACAGTACAGAGTCAGACTTGGCAGCTGTATGATCAAGCTACATTTTAAACTACAGTTAGAAGTGAAGTCGCCTAAAAGGCCTCCCAAAACTTTGCTTTTTACCAGCTTTTGTAGTATGACCTGTTTGAAGCAGACTCTCTTTATTTGCTGTTTCCATTACACAACGGCTGCTTCATACTTCCAAACAGAAAGGACAGTTGTTTTTTTTCCTATTTAATCTATTTCTAGATTACTTTCAGAATAAAAAAACTAATCAAAGATATGAGATAATTCGTCATATTCCATAACAATGTTCTGCCTTTCAGTGTGGGTTTTTTTGTTTGTTTGTTTGGGTTTTTTTTCAAAATGTCTCTTGAATTGTAGAATTAGTCAGATCCAGAGCTGTGACAAACTAGTTGTCAAGACAGGGAACAGCTCACAAGACTAACATGAAACTCCATTTAAAATTTCTGGACCCATCATTTCCATACGGCCTCACCATGCAATTCATGTATCTTTTACAGTAACAGAAATGAAAATCTCCTCAAACCTGCAAATTATGACTTGCTCTCATGCCCAAAGACAGGCTTTAAGCTTTGCTAACAAAACAGGGCCCCAAATTTCTTTGTGTAATAACTGATGCGCTTGAATACATCAGGTTTAGATATCAGCATTATATCATGATCAAGACCTGCTCTACACTAGACCTGGAGTGTCTCCAATTATTAATCCATCCCCTTCTGCTCAGAGAATGAGATTAGACCCTGCACTGTATCAAAGCAACCAACAAGAGAAAGCAAAATGTTAAATTGCACTGGTTTTATTCTCACTGAAACTGTCCCAAAGTATTGTCCAAAGAATGACTTTGATGGGAAAATAGAGAGGTGTACACCAGGAAAATAATAATATGGAGTTCTCTCTACATTGCAGAAAAGGTCAACAAGTTTTTCCAAGAGGAACAGAAAGCAGTTCTGCACTGCTCTTTGCAGGTGTCTTTACAAGAGCGACACAGCAAAGGACTCAAGCTGGATAAACTGCATTTTCACACATTAAAAACGCAGTTCTTAAACTTGGTCAGAGACTTTTAGAACGTGGTGGGCTAACTGCCAGACCAGACACAATTAAACAGCTCATGATTAGTTGTGCAGCAAAACTTGTGCCAGGAGCTACAGAAACAAACAAAAAAAATCACTCATGTAGAAGATCCCAACGAGTTTTGAGGTTAAAAACAAAGGTTCTGACACTGGCAAACACGAGACCTACAGGTGAAGTCAGTTGCCTTCTCGTTGTCTGTTTGCTGCTGAAGAAGGAAATTCAGAAAGTATTGCCATGGCCACTGGGCCACAGGGAGCACTAAGGAAACAGGAAAGCAAACAATCAGAACTATCACACCAATCGGAGTGACCAGCGGTGTCCAAGGCATGAAGAGAAAGCAGAAATCCCTGGAGAAAGAAGACTGTTAAACCACAGACTCTGCGTGTGGACTAGAAAGCATGTCATAAGGGCTTAGAGAGAAATAAATAGTTTCTGCCTCCTTATTCAGTCAGGGAGTTGAAGGAGGTATTGTTTGTTTTCTGGGCGGGCAGCAGTGGGCACTGGATACAGCAACTTGAAAAGACAAAACGAAGATTCAAAAGCAAAAGTGTATTTTAAAAGGAAAAAGCACACTTACCTTCTGGCAGATGCACTTACCTCTTTCAGCACGCAGCAGAACGAATCACATAATTAGAGTGAAAATAATTGTGTTGCCTAAACCTAGGAGCAGCGTGTATGACATTCCTAAAGTCTGTTTGTGTATTATGTACCTGGCACGGTAGCAAGGAGATCCCCAGGATAATACTGTGTGTTAAAAAACCCTAAAAACACCAGACAACAAAAGCCACCTCCTGAAGAAGAGGGGGACCCACTCATCTTTGGAAAGTGTCTGCACACCGCAGCATCCCTGCTGCAGCCCTGAGTGGTGCCAAACTGGATGGCAGGAACAGCCACCTTCCAGCCCACATCCTGCCCAGTCTGACCAGAAAAACACGTGAAGTCTCCACGCTCAACCATGCCGAGGCCCGAGGCCAACGTCAAGCGGAAAAGAAAACACAGTTGGCCACACTAGGTGGGTCAGATAACCACAGTTACCATTACAATCCCAGCCTTTTCCAGAGCTGTCAAATTTCTGTAGTGGGTTCCCATTACATACACTTTTACAGGCTCTCGGATTCCTTTTCCTCGTGTACCAAGACCATGTCCTTCTTGCCAGCCCATCTTTTGAAGCATCTGGAAGCCCACGTTCCTGTTTGTCAGCTTCTTGTGTGAAAATTCTAAATCTTTTGGTTTCTACGGAGAGGAAAAAAACAGAAAAACAAAGGGAGTTTTGTTACACAGGAAGATCATGTATTAAAAATCCCTCAACACTCCTCCCACCCCCAATAAACAACTGTGTTTGAATTTCTGGATGTACAGAAATATCTTCTAAGCTGCTTCTAAGCCAGCTTCACTAGCTGCACAGAAAAAGTGTATTATAGAGTAAATAACTGCCTCAGCAGTTTTGAAAAAAAAAATATATATATTTCAGGTTCTCAAACTTTTTAATTACATTATTAAAATAGCAAAGAATACATCTTCATATTTTAAAATGTTTTTTAATAACAAATACTGAATGATTCGATGACTGAAAACTTATTACAAATAGAGCAGCAGCCAAATTCCATTTCACTAATTTTGGAAAATTGTAACATATTTTCCAGACAGCAATGCACTGATTTTTTAAATTTATTTTTTTTTAAACAGAAGACAAGATGAACACACAGCTGTTCAATAGTGCTCTAATCCTAAAATGTTTAATTTTTACACAGGTAATTAAAAGACAACAGGCACCATGGCTCTCCTCAGATTTAGTCCAGGCTTTTTCAGGACCAGGCTTTTCAGGTTTCAGTTCGATTTTACGACAGCGACACGTTTTCAGAGGCTGTCTCTTGCAAAGACAATTGATTCTCAAAATGCAATGGCAAACCAGAGTTCTTTACCTTCTTCTTCTTTGTAACTGGGCAACCACGAGGCCTGTCATAAGCAATTCTGACAGGTTCATGCACTGCAAATCAAATCAAGGACAAAATTCAGCTGTAAAGAAAAGCAATTTTAATACAGAACTCCAAAAGTACACCTCAAGTGAGACTAACTCTATGCCTTGGCCGAAAATCAGAACCAACAAGATGAGAATTGAAAAAAAGAAAAGAAATGGTAAGACCTTTTTTCTCCCTCCACCACAACAAAGGTAATTAGCACCTGCACGTATTTAGCTTTGGACACACCATGCCAGCAACACGCTGACAGATGACACACTACAAGGACTTTAGATCTTTCATTTCCCTGAGCTTCTGAAATACTCCGATAGAAAATTCAGACTGGACTGCAATGAGGTTATTGCACACCGTTTTCATACCACAAATGACAGCCTTCACCAATAAAAATCATTGTGCAAAGAAAAGACATTTGTTAAAGCAGCTGCAGAGCACGTATAATCGGTTTGAAGCTACTTATCTCTCAATTCTTAGAACATCACGACCCACCCCTGCTGTGGCTACACTGACAAAATTTGACAGGCCAATCCAAAGTCTAAACATGTTTAGTCAAACACTCAAAATACGTTCAGTGCTATACTGAAGTCTATTAAACCTTCCACACACCAATAAAAAAAACCACAAATGCAAAAATGTGAGTTGTTTAAGCAGCAGAGAGAGGGTAACACCCACATATCCTTAGAGATATTTGAGGAAGGATGTTCCACACAAACTTTGCTATTGCACAAACTGTTACACAGTTTATTCAGCTTCTCTTTTGTCAATTGATTGTGCCTTCCAAGTGAACACTGTATCCACTTTTATATTAAATAAATGTGACTCTCTTAGCCATTAACAATCAGTTACAAAGTACATAAAAATCAGGAATTCTGTGCTGATACCTACAAAGTATCTTTGAAGTAACACTCACCTTTTGGTTCCTCTATGAGGCAAATCCTTTTGGAGGCAGGAATCATGCCGACTTTCAGAGACTTGCTGCTGATTCGTTTGCGAGGAAATGGGGTGCCAGGAGCAGGAGCTGAGGCCTGTGTCGACAGATTTGGTACAGCACCATCAGCTGATGCAGCCAGCTGCATTCCACCTGTTGGAATTTCCTCTCCAGTTTTGGAAATCATCTCTTCAGCTAGGTTTTCCACACTTCTACCTGCTGACATGTCATCCTCCTCTCCCTCCTCCGCTTGCTCCATTTCCATTTCTTCCAAAGGCTGGGAAATATCCTCCTCAAACTCAGCTTCCTCCTCATTATCTTCTTCCTCTTCTTCTTCTTCATCCTCTTCCTCTTCCAAAATATCCAGATTTCTCTCTTCAGGTTTAGCACCTTCCCCAGCATCAGTTGCTTCTGACACAGCACTGAAGTTAATCGATGGACAAAACTCATAGACTTTCATTCGGTAGAATTTGAAAGCGGAACTGTTTCGATCCTGGAGAAACCTGAGCAAAAATTACAGCGAAAACAGTATCAGTTGGAGATTTTCTTTAGCTAGCATGAAGCGAGACGTTAGAAATAAATCTCATCATTTTTCTGAACGGTCGTTCCAGGTGTTTTTGTGGAACTGCAGGATTCCCCAGCAACACGTGCTAAGAACAGCAATCATTCTCCTCAATCCCTGGAGACTTTTATCCGCACTTTGAACCGCGCTGTAAAGAACCCAGCACAATTATCTCCCTTACACGGATGGAGAAACTGAGACAAGACGACCCGGAAGGCAAACAGCAGACCCCAGAAGAGAATCCAGGTCTCCCAAACTCCAGTCATGTGGTCTCTGTGGAAATCAGGGTACTGATTCTGAGAGACAGAAGAGATAACGGGGCTCCGTTTTTGTTGGACCAGCATGATGAAAAGAACCTGGGCTAATTTAGAGCACTTAGGCCACTGTAATCAAAGCCTCACTTAAAAAATAACAAGATTGAAAATGCTTTGGCAGAACACTGCTTCAAGATGCAAGCTGATAACTTAGGATACAAGGGAAAAATACATATATCAGTGCATGAACACACTTGAGAGAAGTGTTTTTCTTTCTTAGATATTTCAGACAATCACCATTAATGGAGATGCTGAGCAGGACAACAGGGAGTACTGCTCAAAATCCTCTGTTCCTCAACACATGGAATAAAAGCACACACCTCAACGAATAATAAAAGGAAATATCTCTGCAGTGATTGTTTACATGTATTTTGATTTTTCTTGTCAGCCCATTTACACAGATAAAGGTGTCGGTTACTCACCAAAGGTCTGGGTTATCTGCACTGTTGTCTATGCTGAACTGCTCGATTTCTGGTCCTACCTGAGCGACAAACTTGGCAAGCTTCTCTGCAGTCTCCATCGTTTTAGCATCCACTGTAAGAAACAAAATGCTTGTTATCTACAGCTCCACAGGAAATCTGCATCACTGGAAGGCCAACACAGCTGAGAACCAAATACTTTAGCAAAATAAATGATTTTTAGAATTACCAGCAGAACGTTCTATGCAATTCTTTTCTCATAAAATCTACACTTTAAAATTCAGTCTTGAATCTGCACTTACCGTCAGGAAACTGAGAGGACAACGGTGGGAACAGCTCAGGTGGTGCTGATAAATCCTCAGAACCTGCCCGTTCTTCTGCTGGCAGAGGGGCCTCTGAACTGGTGGCACACTGGGAGGATGAGGTTGCATCAAGGGCAGAATTCTTCTCAGGCAGGCTGGTTCCTGATGCAGAAGGCTTTGGCTGGACGGAGCCTTGAGGATGCCTGTCTTGGTGCTTCAGCACCGTCCCAGCCGAAAGCACAGTCTGTGTCCCTATGGTCGCTCTTCTCACCCTCCTTCCTCGAGCGCCGTGCTGGGCGATAATTCCGAGCCTTTTTCTTTTGAACAGCCGCCTCTTGATACTTGCAACTTTCCTGGCGTACAACATGGCCCTGACCGACTCCGTGGCAGACTCTTCTGGAGTCCTGCCCTCACCACCCGCCTCCTTTCCAGGTGCTGTCCGCCTCTGCATCTCCGACAGCCTCAGTCTGTAATACTTGTACTCCAGACTATCTTCATCAGACAAGAACCTAAATAAAATCACGTAAATAAAATGAAAGCCTAAGCTGAAAGCACAACTAATCTCAAATTCTCTGTAACAACTGATCCTTTTTTCCAGGGGTACACACAAGTTGCTATGTTAACATCAGCCTGCGTAGGTTCTTCCTCAGAATAACAACCAACTCCACTTCTAAAGCAGTAAGTGTTTATTGCCAAGCAAATAAACGACAGGGGGTTTTGACATAAATCATTTGGCTCGTAATTAATCAGCTGTTCTGGAATGCACACATGAAGAGATACTGACATATTAGAAGATCATTACACTTGGGAGTGTCTCGGCTTCCCTCTGCCCGCATTATTCACAGAACACTACATCCATAACTCTGTTACCTTACTCTACGTTTATTAACTACGTTTGCTTACTAATTCCACCTGGTAAAAGTAAATTGCTTTTAACATCTTGTATTAGGATTGACACACAGTCACTACTGACAGATCAAAAGGAACGTGATCTACCAGACAAAACAGAAGCAACAGGACTATTTCCAGGGATATCAGGAAGCACAATTAGCTGAGGAAACATTTTCAAAAAGCTTGATTAAATATACAATAGGCTTTGATCTTAGAGCCATGGAGTGAAATACTGAATTTAAATAAATATATTCCAGTTATCTTCAGCAAGGAGCAGCGTTCTGACACGCTGTTCAAACACACCTACCAATATTCAGGACAGTTCTTCTGAGCGTTTCTCTCTTTGGCAGACAAGGTTCCCGAAACAATGCTAGTCACTAGCTGCTCAATTGTCTCCACAACTTTCCGGTCAGCTCGCTGAGGGGCTGCAGGAAGAAAAACAATGCAGTCACTGTATTATTCTCATCAACAGATTATCAATGTGTCACCTTTGTCATTCTTTAACGCACTGACATTTGGAATTTTTCAACATATTAAAACAAAAAAGGCTGCACTTAATTCTAGAACAAATTAAGGAAACCTCAGAAACATTCTGACTGTTTTCTCAAAACTTAGATTCAAAAACAGTTTATTGTTAGAAGCATCGTGGTTTGAGAAACTTACCCTTTGCCATCACGGGCAAGTTAAGTCATCCTTTAAAAGGCAATTACTTATTGCACCAAAAGGATTTGTGCAAAATAACTGTATTTTAACAGCACTCCGGAGGGGCGAGTTCCAAATTATTAGCCACTCAGCGGAGACTGCCCTGCCAAAGTATCTGAAGTTCAACTAGGAAAAATCAGATGAGTAGAGTAACGAGTAAGAATGCTTTAGAGAGGATGAACTGGATGGCCAATAGAGCAGAGGGGATCATATTCCTACAGATGGAAGTATTCAAACAACTTTAAATATGCCTGCATGGGATAAAAGCAGTAAAGGCAGCACCTACACCTTCCCCTGTAGCAAATATTTGGTGATGTAGCCAGTTACAGCTGTGGTCCTGGTCTCCCTACCTCGAGGTTGTGAAGCTGGAGAGAAGCTGAAGCAGCCAAGGGCACGAGCTGAAAATCCTACATTTACATTCCCAATTCTGGGAATTCCTGACCTAATGAAACCATAAGTGACAAATGAACAAATTAGACACTGCGAAGTATCTTACAACGGCTCACTCACTTTTAACTTTTGCGTCAGGAGAGAGTGTTTTAGGCTCTACTGTGGACTCTGGTTCGTTTTTTTTCATCTGAATCGGATATCCACTCTTCTCCAACCAAGCCTTCAAGTTTTCAATGTACTCTCTTCCAAACAACGTTGAGTCGTCAAAGTTCGGGAAGAGACCGGAGCCATTTCCTGCAGCCCTACGGCTTCGAGGATTTTCTCCTGCCTGAAAACAGACGCGAGCGCGAAGGTCTGACCCAGGAGCGCTAAAGACTTTCGACAGAGAGAAACAGTGGTCTCAAAAGCACTTGCCATTTCCCTTGGGTTGCCAAACCCGCTCGTCTTGATGCTCAACTCGTAGGCGTTGCAGGCCATCAGCAGCGGGGTGACACCTTTCAGGAGGCGGTCTTGCAGCCTCATGATGTATTTATCAAAAGGTTTGATTATTTCGAAGAAGCAGTTCTTGGTTTTCACAGCACCTTTGTCCAGCAGCATATTTAGGAACTCGTTGTCCACTTTGGGAGTTTTCAGAGCAGCGTGTTGTAAACTCTTGATAGTGAAGAAGCAGTAATCTCTGTGTTCTGGCTTTAAGGAGCATTTGAAGGAAGCCAGCATTTTCGCACAGGTTTCTGTCTCCAGCTCAAAGAGAGCTCCAAAGAGCCGGGAAAATTCCGCGTCGTTTTTTATCGCGTGAAACCCAGCCCATTTTATAATTTCTATTCCAAACGTTGAGAAAATATCCGATTTGTCCACAAGGTCAAAACTGAGATTTCTGAAAACATGTGCAGGCTTTGGGAGCCTGAGAATAGGTCTCTGGGTGGTTATGGCTGGCCTCTGATTAGGTCGTGGGGGCAACTTCTGATTCGGGCGCTGGACAGCCACGGGCCTTGGGTTAGGCCGTTCAGCAGCTTCTGGCATTTGATCAGGTTGCATAGCTGGCTTCTGATCAGGGCCTGGGGGCAGTTTTTTAGCATTCCATTTCTTTAGGGGAGGTTTGATATCACCTTTGAACACTTTAGCTTTAACAGCGCCCCTTGTCATACGCTTTCCTCGCAGGATCCTTCCCCTGCCAAGGTTGCCCCTCCGCACTGGGGGTCGGAACTCGCTGTCGGATTGAATTCCAAAGTCCACGTCATACTCCTGATTCTCCATGTTGCCATATTCATCTTCCATGAGTCCTGGTGATCGAAAATCACCTAAAATATCCGAAGAACTAAACTCAGTTTCATGTGGTCCAGCGGATTCCCAAGAGTCAGGAGGGCCATAGTCCTGGTCATGAGAAGCCAGGTCTCCATACTCCCGGTCATGGGAAGCTGGGTGTCCATACTCCCGGTCATGGGAAGCTGGGTGTCCATACTCCCGGTCACGAGATGCCGGGTGCCCATACTCCCGGTTGCGAGATACTGGGTGGCCAAATTCCCGGTCAAGAGGCGCCGGGCGGCCGTACTGTTCATGGTAATAGTTCTCTTTCCTTATGAGAGGGCTGGCAGATCTGTAAGAAGGTCCTGCGTAGTCATCTCTCGGCTCTTCACTCCAGTCGTCGTGCGGATGGTGCTGGGCGTTGTCATGAGTATATCTTCCATCATTGTGAAAACTGTCTTCGTATCTTGGTCTTGGGACTGGCCTTGAATGAGCTGTAATGATAAAAATATAAATATACCAATGCACCACAAGTAGTATCAATAAAAAAATTTAATAAACACATTTAGACACTTAGGAGAGACGAGACATCAAAACTTCTAAAGAACAGTATACGTATCTAACTTCAGGATATTCCCACTTGCTTTCTTCTGTACATTGAATAATTCATAATAAGCAAAAAGCAACAAGATGAACAAACACACACAAAACAATTTATTCAAACTTCCACCCTCACTAGAGCTGAAATGCAAATTCTGCCATAAACCTCGTTTTCTACTCGCTCACGACGTTCTCACTCTAGGAAGACGCTAATGTTGTGCTTGTAATGCCTCTAATTGGAATTCTCAGATGGAAAAATATCAAAAGCAGGCACTTTCTGTTTCCACACTGAAAGGCAGAATTCCATTCTTCAACAGAAGATCGTATTTTCTACAAATTCCTGCACAATTATCTAAGATAACGTTACAGTCAGAAATACTAGCATTTCCTGCAAAGCATCCAAGAATCCCTATTCCTTAATTCCAGTAGTTAAATTCAGGAAGTCAAGAATACTTGGAACAAATTAAGTATTTAAAATAAATTATTTCCTTGGAGCTTATACAACTCTAAGAAAACAGAAGGGATCTTGTTTTAAAACTCAGTTTCCTACGAACGTAATCCAAGTTATTTTTCTAGACATTTCAAATACCAAATTTAGAAGCTAAAAAAAAATTTGCAGATCATGTTTCATATACATTCACTGGATTCATGCCCTGCTTTTAGCTTTTTCTCCAAAAGTAATATGAAATACAAAGACCCAAAGGCTTCAGACGCATTCTGTATTTATTTAACTTAGGCACCAACAGAATTCCATCCTGCAGCGATGCCTCTGGAGACCTCCCTGAAATTGGACCCACTCTGATGCAGCCTGAACAGCATTCCTTTGTTTGAAATTTGCTTTTTTTGCCTGTAATTTGCATTCCACATCGAAATAGCATCACTCATACGAAGCTATTAGCCTCTTAAATAAAAATGGATGTGGAAAAACACCAGCACAATTCCACGTTTAGGCAAATACACGCAACTAGAAAGCGAGAAATCCAGCATAGCTGTTCCCAGAACAGCTGCTCTAACCCACGGCGCGTCACGCCCGGGATTCGTTACCTTTGAAATGATGGATCGTGCCCTCCACGGCATCGCCCCGCTCCATCCGGTACCTTTTGACTTTGTCCTGCACCACAGCATCGAACGTCTCCCGTGTGATCCGCCGAGAGGCCATTTTTATCCTGTAGCAAAACAGCACAATGCCGTCCCTCAGCGGGGCACGGGCGCCGGGGAAGGTCCTC